CCTCAGTTGACCAGCACTTGTTTAGCAGGTGTCGTTACCTCTGATCGAAAACTTAAACATCATAGCCTGTAACTCCTGTGAGGCTTAGCGCTCACACTGCACATGGCAAGAAAAACAGTCACCATGTTTGACATGTTTCTCTTAAGGTTGCAGAACTTGTATGGATTTTTTTATGTTTTCCACGTTTACTAATGGATAGCTCCAATATGAGGTACATTCTTACACTAAAATTGATTGAATTTGTTTGAAATTCTACAACCTGTATTCTGATTTTTTTCGGATCCAGTCCAGGTTTTGTCAATCGAACATAATCCGATCCAGGTTTTGTTAATCCAGTCCAAAATGGTCCAGATTTTGTCAATCCTATCTGATCTGATCTGATCCGCTCCAGGGTTTGTAAACGCCCATTAATTATCTTTGTTACCTCTTTCTCTTAGCCATATGTGTGTCATATTTTGAAACTGTTTTAATTGCTGTTCGTGACGGAGGGGCCTTGGACAGTTTCTTTCTGGATTTCCTTAAACACAAAGTGAAGCACATCAAAACCGCTCCATAGGTCTCCATGCATTTCGATTTTTCAAATGGGACTTAGATTCAGGGGATACTCTCTGGACCAGGGTCAGTGTCCCCTGAATTACCTTTGGTTTGACTTGGGATGAAATCATCTAAACTATTAACCTTTGGCAACCAATTTAAATTTGTCATTAAATGATAGACAGTAGTGAAAAGATCATGTTGAGAAAGCTGTCATCATTGTGATGAATGTGAACTTAATCTTTGTGGGTCAGTCATGTTTTAAGTGGTTATTTCGCCCCTGAATGGAGGTTAAACTGGGCTTTGGGACCCAGAAAAAGTGTTCCTTTCCCCTGAACAGAGGTGCCCCAGAGGAGAGATTCCACAGTACATTTGTTAACTGATCCTGGAATTATGCAGGATCTTTGTCTCATATGGCCCCAGTATACAGCCTGTGGCATGCCAGTGAGTTTTCAATATCTCAGAAGTAATACATGCCTCCAACAGAAATAATCTGCAGGTATCAAGTCCTCTTGCGGACCCATGAAATGCGAATACCATATTGTCTTCACTAAGTTTTGAGTTTTTAATAAGTCTCACCTGGCTGGCTTTTTTAACTTCAGCATCCAGTCTGGGATTTCACATCCAGAACTCTTCATTACATTTGCAATACTACAAGACAAAACCAAATCATACGCAACAGTTAACCCTTTAACTCCCAAGATCTGATTGATAATTCTCCCTTCTAGGTGCTACCTATTTCCTTGTAAATTAGTTACAAGAATTTGTTTTAACATCAAGACAATGGCCTCTACCTGACAAGTTTGAGTATTGTCATTACCTTTTATCTGGATGATGTATGGATATTATTGGGAGAAGTTTCATGTTTATAAATTCCTGGAGTTAAAGATTTAACAATACTTGGCAAGAAGTCAGGAAGTGAATTTATTCAAATGCAGTGAAAGGTTTCATGAATCTCAGATAAGACCTAAGAATCACTTAACAACTTTTTTAAAAAAGTTGAGGATTAACCCAGTACACCCTCACATCAGTATGCAACAGTTTCTACACTTGAATTCTGAAGTGAGTTTAAAAAACCAATAATGCTTGTGAAGTAAAGAAAAACTATATCCGTATTGCATACCTGCGTAAATTTGTGGCATCATCTTCAGTGAAAAATGTGATAGCTTTTCCTGGTCTACCAGCACGACCTGTTCTACCTGAGGACACAAGAACAGATTTTTAATGAGTTCGACTGTCAGTTACCAAGACTTCATCAGCAATTCTCCCTTCCAACACCCTCTGACCAGTTGAT